CAGTCCTGAACCTATGGGAATTGTTCAAAGTATTTGAGTGACTAGGAGTAATTTTCTCGATTGATAGCGCAATTGAGGCAGCAGACTTGTCATTGATTATTTTTCTCCTGCTCACATGAGCCTTCTGCTTCCTCACTCTCATAGTGTTCACTCAGTTACTCACTCACTCTCGGCTTTGTCCCTTGGGTAGGCTTAGTTGGGTTTACTAAGCCATTGGGACTTATCTCTCATTTCTCCTTGCTCTTTTCTCTGCGTGCTCCCCCTCAACTGGAGCATTCAGTAGGATGCATTCAACAATGTTTGGCGCTTGGGAGGAGAACTTTGAAAACTCCCCCTCAAAATCTGTATCATTGAGAGAATCCTTGCATGGTAAATTCTCTAGCACCAGGAGGAGAAAAACGAAACCCCCCTCAAAAGTTGCAACTCGTGTTGTTTGTTACCTGGGGAGTAAAGTAGAGAACTCCCCCTTGGAATGTGCTTTCTTCGTTGTTTGGGACCTGGGTGTAAAGTAGAGAACCCCCCCTCAGAATAAGCACTTATTGATTGTTCTTGGCGTGTATTGGTGATGGGGTGTGTATTTGTTGATTTTCTGCTCAGTGGGGTAGTATACACGCCAATACTCCCTTTGATAATGTGCACCTGTTTATTGCTCACAACTCGTCTTTATACCTGCCATGTGTGTGGAGCAATCGGATCAGTTACCACACATGACAGACCTGCAAGGCAACTTAAGTATGTTTTGGCACCCACCTCCAGATGGGTCCTTGCTTGTCACCACAGAAAACTTGTTTTAGTTTATGTTTGATTTGTGATCTCAAGCTAGCTGGTTGAGAAGAATTTGTCATTCCGATTTTCTCAGCTTCAGCCTTAGGAACCCATTGTTGCTTGAACTTTGGAGGAGGAGAAGTTTCACAAGCAACGAGTGAATGTTCAGACAGATAATCTTTTAAAATTGTTTCTTGAGAGAGTCTTTTCAAATGTCTGAGTGAGTAAACTTTGAGGTGATACTTCAAATATGGTAATTGATACTCCCCCTCTACATTTACCTTAGCAGAAGCTGATTTCTTCGGACATTTTTGAACATTCCTCTTCTTATCTTGGTTGGAGGAGACATCAGATTCAGAGCAACAAGTGTTTACTGGCTTAACATAGTTCAGAGTAGAAGAGCTTGAGCAGTTATTCTTAAGAGATGTCTTATTTTTGGCATAGAAGAGAGCACTCGAACACCAGTTCATATCCCTCAGACAAGATTCTTCTTCCTTTTTTCTTCTTCTCAACTTCTCCTCTATCCATTCTCCCCTCTTTTCCACTCTCCTCTTCACAGGGTACCTTGTCCGAGAAGGAGACTCAGAGTTAGAGGTATAAGTTTCAGGATCATCAGTTGATTTTTCAAAATACGTCTCAGATGATCGGGGAGAAGGAGATTGAGAACTTGTGCCTGATTTAGAGGATGTCGTTAACAAGGATATTTCATTTAAAAGTTGTTCCCTATCAAGCTCAAACACCTGTTTTTCTTTATCAAAAGCTTCTTTCAATTCAGCAAACTTTCTCACAAGGGGTGTAATGTATGCTGGTTTGGGTACAGGCTCTGAAGTTGAAGGTTCCTCTTTATCTTGCACAGTCTCTTTTGCAGGGTAAAAGGTTGGAATCTCTTCGGGAAGAGTCAACAGGAGCTCTTTTGTTTCATAGTTCTTGTTCAAGGCATCATAATCAAAAGGAATTTCTGTTCCGAGATTAGCTCTCTTGGCATCTTCTTCACCATTCATTTCTTTAACACTGATGAAAGACATCAACTTAGTCAATCCAAGACCCATGTAATTGATGTCATACAGTTGAGCACAGTTCACCTTCTTCAAATTATATGGGTTAGTCAGACCGAGTCCTTCTTTAGAATTATAGAAACGGGTGTCCTTGAGTTGGTTCAAGAAGATTGTTTGTTCAGTTTGCCCTTTTGTAGCAATTAAGTCTTCTAACTCTTTGATTTTACGATAGAGAGAACTTTTTTTGATTATTGAGGAAATCTTTATTTGCTTTCTCAGTGTTTCGCTCCGCCTCAGTTTCTTGCAATCTAAAAGTCAGATCAGCTACCTTGAGCGTTAGCTCTTCCGTTTCCAAAGTTATTTTCTTGACCTCTTCTTTTGAGTTGTCCAAAGTTAGACATCCTTATGTATAAAAGGATGCTAACTTAATGCTTACAAGTGGGCTAATGAGCTGAAATACATTTGTGGCCCATATTATACATTTAATTAATAACTACACAAATTGACAAATACAAAGATATTTAATTAGATTGGACACCATAAAATATTCCCAACAAACCTGCAACTCCTGCAAATTGCACCACGAACCGATGAGTTCATCGCATTGAAGAATGGCAACTATAACTCACCATGAAATGAGATGAAGTGGACTAGCCCTATGGACTTCGACTCACTTTGACAGCTCTATCCATAGTCGATAAATTTTCTTTTAAACTCTGATTGGCGAATTCACATACAATTCGTTTTTCCTGCAATTTTAATATAAACTTTAAACACATATTTTTTCGTGCAGTGGCTGTTTCAATTATCTGTATATATATCTACATATATCTATATACTTATTTATATATTGACGTATGCAGTGGCGTATCGAGAAAAATACGCCAGCGGGGGCGAATTTACCTTAGGTTAAGAAAAAAATTACTAGAAAGATCAGAATTAAGAAAAAAATTGTAAAACCAATTATAAATAACAAAATATTCTCTCGAAAAAAAACATTATGATATCATTTTTATTTACATTTCACTTTTTTAGAAATAATTTTATCATATGAAATTTGTATTTTGTGCAAAATTATGTCAATATATAAATGAATCAACTAATTAAGGAAAGGAGGGAGCGTGTAGTTGGAATTAATTTAAATTTAAAATTTAATAAGTATATTAAAAAATAGTTTATATTATGTACAAAATCAGTTCATTTGTGAAACAAGATTGTAACTATATTGATGTAGTTCAGATCTTTCCAACAAGAAAAATATTAAAAAGAATAATGTAAAACCATTTAGAATTTGCTTAAGGCATCTAGGGCAAAGAAAAAAAAAACAAATAAACAGCTACAGGTTAGAGTGTAACTCTTCACCTCATGTAAGGAGGCACCACTTATCCGTGCAACTCTTTCCTCTGGGCCAATTGCATATCTAGTTATTATTCTTGTACTTATTTTCTAAATTCCTTTTATTTAGCACAAAAATAATAAAATATATGTATAACTTTAAATTGGATATATATAAGGGTTGGGTGGGGTTGAGTGGGGGCAGCTGCCCCCCACCCCCACCCTGGATACGCTGGTATAGTCGTATGTATGTGTATATGTAACATGTGGCCTGTTATGTTTATTTACTTACTTATTTATATATTGACATTTGTATGCATATATGTTTAGTTTTTAATTTTCATTTTTAACTACTAGCTCGAGCTGCTCAACCCTAATATGGTGTTTATCCTGAAAGCCTATATCGTACCATCGGTTGTACGGTGAACACTATGAAGCCGGTGGTATTTTTGTAAATTAAGTGAAAATCGGAGGTTCCGCTAAATGAGCATGAATGTGTTCTTGGTGAACATCTGACTTATTCTATTGAATATTGGGAGCCAAACAATGAGTATCGCGATCTATGCTTCTTGTCTTTTAATTCACTTTATTTTTCTTATTATTTCATTTATAAAAACTTATTAAATTACATCAATAATGAACTCGTATGAATTTTAATATGCGATTCTAATGTGGTATATGATATTTTTGAAATATGCATCGATATGACATTTTAAAAACAAGCATAACATCAATACCAAATGAACATACGTAACTTACAAATTGCGCATTGATATGAAAATCTAAAGGTTTGCTAGTTGAACATCACAACATTTTCAGTGAGCACCAAACATCCTCTATTGAGATGAAAATTACGGTTTCTGTTAAATGAGCATTAATGAACTTTTAATGAGAATCAGACCCATTTTGTTAAGTATTAGGAGTTTAATATTGAACATCGTATTTTCTGCCTCATAACTTCTGATTCACTTCATTTTCTTTAGTTTTTCTTTTATAAAAATTTCTTAAATTATATTTATAATCAAATCCTATGGATTTCAATATACGAATCTAATTAAATATTAAACTTTTGAAATATGCATTCATATAAAAACGTAAACTTTGCTCGTTGAGCAACAAGACATTTTCATTGAACATCAAGTCTCCTATATTGAAAATTGGAACTCCGCCATTGAACCTAAAACTTTCGAAACCTACTGAGCATCAAAACATCTTTGTTGAATAGTCAGTTGTAATAGTGTTTATCTTAAAACGTTATATCGATGTGCAGTTCGTATAAATATTATACTCATTTGAGTATAACATAAAACTCAATTTTTGTACTCATTTTATAATGTTATATCAATGCTCAATTCTTTGAAAGTTGTGCTCTTATATGTATAACATAAAACTCATTTCTATAACTCACGCATACAACATATTCATTACAAATAACTTAGACTAAATCTTTTCGTAACAATAAAGCTTAATCGATTTTCACACAGAGCACATTGTAAAATTGGTGAATGCTCATTTAAATGTTATACGTAGTAATAGAAAAGTATAACATTAATTGCTCAAAATATCACAAAAGAATCATTAATAGTTGAATCTAATATATAAAAACCAAACATAAAATCTAATAGCAAATTGTTTAAAGATAAACCTTAGAAAATAACAAACGAAATCAAGAATTCCTTAATTCAAGAGGCATAAAAGCTATTTAAATCAATACAAAAAAGAACTATTATGCAAAATAAATCATTCATGGTCAATACTATATTCAAGTACAACAAAGTTTATTTAAAATTTGCTCCATAAATAAACAAAAATTCACTTTAGAATTTTTACGAAAAGTTGGGCCACGGCGTTTCTAGATATTTTTTAAAAAACAAGGTCGGAGGGCTTGAATTACATCAGCCGATACGCGGTGATTTTTTTAAATTAAAACAAACCTGCGCTCGCCGATTCTAGCACCACTCTACCGGCGGAGGGCTTCAATACTGAAGCAATACGCGACCGACGAAATCCAATCTGCTGCTGGTGACGACGGGAGACGGGAGACTTGTGCTGAAGGTGGTGACCGACGAAATCCAATCTGCTGCTGCAGTGCTGCGCTACTTCGCTGGAGTGCTGGACGCGTGGGACTGAGTTAAAGCAGAGCTGGCTGCTGGATTCATACACATCAATCACCCACAACACAACTCTGCAAACACTTTAAATGGACTTTACATAATACTGAGTTCATGGCTGACATATGGTTTTGGGACTTCAATGGTTAGCTTCTCTGGGCCCTATTAAATGGGATTTTGACAAGCTTATTATGGAGTTTCAGTATATGGGAAAAAAGTTGTATTAAGGGGAGCATGCAGTGGATTAATGGGGAAAATTTGTGCCATGAAGTGCACAAGAAGAGTAAGAAATATGGGGGACAATTATACCTTATGAAGGTGCATTAACTGGGCAGTGAATTTAAAAATAAAACACAATCTACTTTGGAGTACATGCGTGAGGAAATATCTGCTGTGTTGACAAAATTCCAGCATGTTTTTGAGGAACCAAAGCAACCGCCTCCGCATAGAGACTGGGATCATCAAATCCACCTCATGCCTGGTACTGCTCCTATCAATGTCAGACCCTATAGATATCCAACTATACAAAAAACTGCCATTGAAGAGATTTCAAAGGAGATGTTGGATAATGGTGTCATTAGAAATAGTCAGAGCCCCTACTCCTCACATGTGGTAATGATTAAGAAAAAAGATGGAAGCTGGAGATTTTGCGCAGACTATAGAGAGCTGAATAAGCATACTGTGAAGGACAAGTTCCCCATCCTTGTGATAGATGAACTGTTGGATGAGCTGAAAGGATCTCACATTTTTTTCCAAAATTGACTTGAGATCAGGTTATTGGCAGATCACAATGAAGGAAGAAGATATCGAAAAAAGAGCCTTTAGACTTCATGAAGGGCACTATGAGGTCTTGTTCATGTCTTTTGGCTTAACAAATGCTCCATCCACTTTTCAGAACCTTATGAATTCCATCTTTAAACCATACCTCAGGAAGTTTATATTGGTGTTTTTTATGACATTTTGATATACAGTCCGGATGTTAAATCACATGCACTACATTTGCAGCAGGCCCTTAGCATCTCGAAGAACAACACCTTGTTTGTTAAACGTAGTAAATGCTCTTTTGGAGTATCTACTATTGAATACCTAGGGCATATTTTTTTAATGGATGGTGCAGCTACTGACCCCAAAAAGATTCAGGCAATTCAGAGTTGGCCTAGTCCAAAAAACTTGAAGACCTTAAGAGGATTTCTGACCCCAAAAAGATTCAGGCAATTCAGAGTTGGCCTAGTCCAAAAAACTTGAAGACCTTAAGAGGATTTCTTGGAATGACAGAATAGTACAGGAAATTCATACAAGGGTATGGTCTTCTCTCCAAACCTTTAACCAACTTGCTTAAAAAGAATGCTTTTTCATGGGGGCGGAGGCTGAGATGCCATTTTCTAGGGGTGGGATCGGTCCGGTCCGGGCCGGGTTTTTGCTAAACCCGAAAATTACCCGTAAGTTATTGGGTTATAAAAATTAGGGACCGAAATAAAGCCCACAATATTCGGTCCGAGTCGGGTCTTTTGTAGTCCGGGTCCGGGTTGGGCCGGTTAAAGCCCGAATGTGAAATCACTCATTTTTCTTTTATATTTTAAAATCTATTTTCAAATAAAATTAATAATAAGTAGAACCGCATATATTAGTCTCCAAAATCACCGAGAATTCAAATTCAAAGAAGACAATTATCATAATATTTTGTTTAAAATGCATAAAAATAAATAATATAGGTGTTCTACAAATGTTATGAAATAAAATTTATGGATAAAAGTGTGACTAAAGTTACTATACATATGTTTTCATGGTCATTACGGTAAATAAATTGAACGTATTTGTAGTCACTAATAGTTATTAAGTCATTTTTTCGTCCATCATGATTAGAATCATAGATTAGGAATTAATTCATAAATTATATTGATTTTATATTAAAACTAATTGTTTTGGGTTTTATCGGTCCGGGTCGGGTTATAGATTTTAGGGCCCGTTAATGAGCCCGAAGTTTCGGGTTCGGTCCGGTTTTTTTATTCGGGTCGGTCAAAAAGAAAAAAACCCGGACCGATATCATAATTCGGGTCGGGCCCGGGCCGGTTTCCGGGTTTCGGTTCGGTTTTTCCCACCCCTACCATTTTCCTAACTAAAACAGGCCATGTGCAAGACCCCAGTTCTGGCTTTACCTGATTTTGAAAAGCCTTTCATTGTAGAAACAGATGCTTCTAACCTGGGTATTGGAGCAGTCTTATCTCCGAAGTTTTCTGAATATTATTTCCATTAATTCGTTTACAAGAAGTACAAAAGCTATTTATACAGATAGGAATCCTGAGAGAGTCTATTCAGTATCCTAGGTGACTGTCTAAAAACTAAACATAAATGATTGAGAACTGAAAAGACAACAACTATTAAATACAACCTGAAGCACTAAAGACACATAATTACAGTAATAATAAGGAAAATAAATCCTAGATTAATGATGTTTCTTCGTTTTATCAACACTCCCCCTCAAGCTAGGTTTGTAGATATCCGTCATGCCTAGCTTGACAATAAGACCCTGAAACCTAGGACTGTGCAGAGGTTTGCTAAACACATCTGCAACTTGATCTTCTGAGGGAGTGTAGCTTAGTTCGATCAGACCTCCTTCAACCTTTTCTTTGATAAAATGCCTATCAATCTCAATATGCTTGGTCCGATCATGTTGGACTGGATTATGAGCTATGTTGATTGTTGATTTGTATCACACCTCAATTCCATTGGTCCTTTCCACTTGATTCGTAAATCTAAGAGAATAATTCTGATCCATAGAAGTTCACATAAGCCATGGGCAAGAGCTCTTAGCTCAGATTCAACAGATGATCGTGCCACAACATTCTATTTTTTGCTTCTCCATGTCATGAGGTTTCTTGCTAGGAAAACACAAAGACCAGTAGTTGACCGGCGGTCAACGAGGGAGCCACCATAATCTGCATCAGTGAAGGCTTGGTCTGATAATTGCCCACCTTTCCTGAATATTATCCTTTGCCCTGGACTTCCTTTTAATTAGTGAACAACCCTATAGGCTGCTTCTAGATGTGGTTTCCTTGGATCATGCATGAACTAACTCAAAACACTAAATGCATAGGCAATGTCAGGTCTAGTATGAGAGAGATAGATAAGTTTGCCACACAAGCGCTGATACATTGATGAATCAACCTTGGGTTCATCAGTAGCAAGTCCAAGCTTATGATTAGGATCCATAGGTGCATTAACTGGTCGACAAGCACTCTTACCAGTCTCATTTAACAAATCTGTAATGTACTTTTGTCGGCTGACAAAGATGCCTTCAGATGAGCGAGCAACTTCAATTCCAAGAAAGTATTTTAGAGGGCCAAGATACTTCATCTCGAATTTGGATTTCAGCTGCTCCTCAAGACGTTGTTTCTCAACTGGATCATTACCCGTCACAATGATGTCATCCACATATACTAAAATAATAGTGACTCCATTTCGGTGAGAGTGTTTGTAAAAAAGAGTATGATCCCCTTGGCTTTAACTATACCCAGCAGCAAGAACAACCTGTATGAAGCTGTCAAACCAAGCACGAGGGGATTGCTTGAGACCGTAGAGGGCTTTTTTAAAATGACATACATGTGTAGAGGTACTTGTTGATGTTTTATTAAAGCCTGGGCAAGGTTGTCAAAAGCGCTCGCCCCAGCGCTTAAGCGCACAAGGCGCAGCGACCTACGCCCCCAGCGCCTGAGAATAGGAGAAGCGCGCATACCAGGGTAAGGCGCAGCCTAAGCGCAGGAAGCGCTGAAGCGCTATGAGGCGCACGCCTGGGTCGCCTGAGACGGAAAAGGCTAACATCCTTTTTTGAGTTTATAACTTTGAAAACAATAGGGTAAAGAAAGTTAAACCCACGTAAAAGTACATGTAAAACTACGTAAAACCCATGTAAAACTTGCGCAAGAGTCAAGACAGTACAACTATCATCGCTAGCCATTCTCGCTCTTCACTCTCCTAGCTTTCCTCACTCGACGCTGAATACCTAGTAATCTGGTTTTTTATTTTTTAGTATATTAGTATGTATATAATACTCATAATACTCTGCTTTGTGAGTTTTTAGTATATTAGTACTCCCTCCGTCCCAAAATTATCTTCATAGTTACTATTCACACGGTCAACTCAAATTACTCTTAAACTTTTACTTTATATATCAAATTTTTATCAAACTTAAATTTTCTTGATCAGCCTTTGTAGCGGATTTAATGTAGTTTCTGAATATGTAAATTTAATTTACTAAAAATAATCTGAGTGTGAACAGGGATCAAGTTGCTTTATCGTCAGTCAAGCATCGTAAACCGAACTACGAAGATAAATATGGGACGGAGGGAGTATGTATATAATACTCATAGTTAAAGACATGTTTATAGTTAATACTATTAACTAATTCCAGCTTTGATTAACTATTAACTAATTCCAGCTTTTATAGTATGTATATAATACTCATAGACTCATAGTACTCTGCTTTGATTATATAGTTAATATAGTTAATAGTTAATAACTTAATACTATATAATACTCACAGTTAAAGGTATATTTTTAAGTTCTTATAAAAGGTATTAAAGCCATGAATTCTAAATTTGGACTTTTATTTTTGTGAATCATGACTTTATTTTGGTGAATCCTAGCTTTTTTATGCATTTGGTTCAATATGATATTACATACATCATATTTGGTAATTATAGAATAGTATATGTGATTTTATATAAGTAATGCGCTTCACCCGAGTCAGGCGAGCGCTTTTTTGCGCCTTGCGTCTCAGGCGCTAGAAGACTCCTAGCGCTTCAGGTGCGCCTTTCGACTTTGACTACCTTGAGCCTGGGAAATGTACATGTAGATCTCATCATGCAAGTCACCGTGGAGAAAAACATTCTTGACATCAAATTGCAATAAAGGCCAATCAAAGTGAGATGCCAAGGATAGTAGGATACAGACAGTATTGAGCTTAGCTACAGGAGCAAATGTCTCTTGATAGTCAATCCCATACGTCTGAGTGTATCCTTTAGACACAAGACGAGCTTTGTACCGCTCAAGAGATCCATCAGCCTTGTATTTGACAGTAAAGATCCACCTGCAACCAACAACATGCCTCCCAGGAGGTTTAGTCACAATATCCCAAGTATGGTTCTTTTCAAGAGCTCTAATTTCCTCTTGCATAGCATCCCTCCATTCTTTCTTTCCTAATGCCTCAGAAACATAGTTGGGTATGGGAATTTCATTAAGTCTCTGAACAAACAAGGCATGTGAAGGAGAGAAGTTATCAATGGCAACAAAATTAGCAAGAGGGTATAGAGGTGTTTTGGTACATTGACGTACACCTTTGCGTAAAGCAATTGGCGGAGATGGTGGTGGAGAAGAAGAGACATTACCTAGGTCAGCCAATTGGTCATGCGTCAACAATGGAGTGAACATGTTTTTCCTTGAGTACACTTTTGTCACTAGTAGATGAGAAGATGGGTCATGAGTGGTGGATTTAGTAGGTGTATGAATGGGATGGTCTGGTGGTGGATTTGATTGAGGTTCAGGTGATGTTGAAGACTGTTGGGAAGTATGTGAGGTTGCTGACACATCTAAGGAAGGTGATGGATGATCATGTGGTGATGGGATGTCTGGTGATAAAGGCTTAGGAGGGTAGGAGATTGTATGTGGTGGAGAAGATGTAATAGTATAGGTGGGCAGAGGTGAAGGATGTGGAGTATCTTGGGATACACGGAGAAGTAGGAGTGTAAACAGGTGTGTCTTCATGAAAGGTCACATCTGCACTGATGTATGTCTTTCTGGTTGTATGATTAAAGCACTTGTATCCTTTCTGAGTTGGAGAATAACCAAGAAAGATACACTTAATAGATCGTGGGTCCAATTTTCCCCAATGAGGTGGAGGAATATGAACAAATGCAATACACCCAAACACCCTTAGATCGAGATCAGAAGAAATTCTGGTTTGAGGAAAGAAGTGACGAAGAGATTCAATGGGTGACTTATTTTGGAGTACCCGACTGGAATTTTATTGATGAGATGACATGCTGTGAGTGTGGCTTCCCCCCAATAGTGTTTAGGCATATTTGATTGAAACAATAAAGCCCGACTGACTTCTAGGAGATGGTAATTTTTTCTTTCTGCTGTGTCATTCTGTTGTGGTGTGTACGGACAAGAGGACTCATGAACAATGCCTTTTGAGAGGAAATAAGAGGAATCAGTTTGATTGAAGTATTCAAGAGCATTATGAGTGCGGAAGCGTTTTATTGTGGCGGAGAACTGATTATGAATCATATTGCAAAAGATAGG